GAATTACTAAGTTTAGCTATTGTTTGTATCTTGTACTATCACCAATTTCCGTTACCGAAATTTACTACATTTGAACTTTAGTGTGACAGTACTAAAATTAGATCGCTGCGGGTAGTATTTTGACTGCAGAGGAAGATTTTATCACATGACTTCATCGACTGATTCATCAGACCGACTCGTCGTAACAGTATATATTTCATTTGAAGTATTTTTATTATTTTCAGCTATTAAGTCAAAAAACTTGCGACCACCTACCCCAGGAGTTCTAAGGTCATTCTTTAAAGCAGTAACCAAGGTAACAACATTATTTTCTAATTTAGTTTGTTCATCTAATAATTTTTGATGATTATTTTTTTGGTTTAAACCTTCAATTTCTTTAACTTTTTTTTCTTTTTTACTCTCTAAATTTAAAATTTCAATACTTACTTCTTCTTCTTTGTGAACAAATTCATATTCAGATTCAGCAAAAAAAATATCTTCAAATTGACTAACAACTTTATCAATTGGTTTATAACTCAATCCATTAACCAATTGATAAGGAACGGAGTTAGTTCTTTGTTCTACTAGTAAAGATTTAAATAGAGCCCTTCCATTGTCAGTTAAACCCATGGTTTCAGTTTTTACTTTATCTTTGGATTGTTTTCAATTATCAAGTATTTCAGCAGTGTGTTGAAGTAAAGCTTTATCCAAAGTTCCATTTGGTTTTAAAAGATTACTATCAAAGATAGCCTTTTCTTCTGGTTTAAGGGCTCCTTCATAATAATTGGAATATCGTTTTGCTTCATCTATTGTATTTATATCATTTTTATTGAATGTCATGATTTTAATTTCTTTTTTTTATCATGTAATATATTATATTTTAATATTAATATCATTAAAAGATTAAATCAAAAACTAATAAAGTAATAAAATTTACAGTTGACTGAAATATTTCTATTCATTATCAGTATAGATTGGTTTGGGACAAGTAATATCTTTAAACTCATCTCTGACAAATGCACGAATATAATGATAAAGATATTCTTGTCTTTTATAATCCAAAGGAGGCGGGGTTAGAACCAAAATAGAAAAAGATTTAATTTCTTTGGTAATTTCAGAAACACTTGCCTTTCTAGTTTTTAACAAATTAAATTCAGT